GCTTTTTTCCTTGCTTAAATTTACTTCAACAATTACATCAAACCCCACTTCCGACAATTATTTTTGCTTTTTTCCTTGCTTAAATTTACTTCAACAATTGCATCAAACCCCACTTCCGACAATTGTTTTTGCTTTTTTCCTTGCTTAAATTTTTGCTTTTTTCCTTGCTTAAATTTACTTCAACAATTACATCAAACCCCACTTCCGACAATTATTTTTGCTTTTTTCCTTGCTTAAATTTACTTCAACAATTACATCACTTTTTCTGACAAAATTTTCTCTTTCGCGAGATTCTTCAGGCTATCCTAAGGCTGGCAGAGGAGAAGAAACCGCTGACAATAGCTACTTTGGCAACGGTGGACTGAACGTAATCGGGGCAACCACGGTGAGAAACGGCTGGAGACTGACGCATTCCAATACTGTCCGGAGCCATGTTCAGTGAATGATCTGACTGACGCCCTACATGCGGAGGCCTTGGCCCTCTCCCGTGCAATTACTTGGGCGATCAGATTGGAGTTGGCCGGGCGCTGTTCGGAACCGACAGTACCACTCTTCAAGATGCGGTGACCTCGAGCTCTTATTATGAATACGCACCGCTGGGTCATCTGTTCCGTGGCATCAAGTTTAGATCAAGTACCAAGTTCATTCGGACTGAGATTGTACATGTTGGACGTAGCTGTAATAAGCCAACGCATGTGCTGGCCGCCATGGGTGCAGGGTTAGCTGATGCTGAAGCGTGCTTGTGGCTTGATAGTTTCCTGTCGATGTAACCCGTGCTGTAACCGGCATTTTTGCCGTGCCCGAGATGGAACACAAGTGTTTCCATTTCAACAACAAAAACCGGCATTTTTGTCGTGCCCGAGATGGAATACAAGTGTTTCACATTTATCTGCACGTCGCTCTTCCCTGCACTCTACTCCCTCCGTCTCAAAATATATGTCTCAACTTTGTACTAACTTTAATACAAATATTAAATTATACTGAAGTTAAGACATAAGTATCAGATAGAATTTTACCCTTGATTGAACCACGTATCCCTCTCATCCAGGAAAAATGTGATCAGGGAGGCGACCAACTCCTCCTGCGCTTTGCCGGCAAGGCTGTGGGTTCTCTTGCCCTCCAATCACCGCTCCGATGATGGCTCTCTGCCTCTAGTGCAGGTAGGGTTAGGTTTAGTGTGTTCCACAACGGCGTTTGGATGACAGTGATGCCGGCGTTTGGAATGAAAATTTCTCGAGCTCAACCCCATCTCACGACATCTTCAGTGGTGAAATCGAGGGGTATGTGTGAACCTTATTCCATCGTTTCCTTGGTGCGATGGATCTAATGGTGTTTGTTGTGTGCATGGCGGATCTCATCTCATGTGGTGTCGTCTTTGTTTGGGGGAAGGTAAAGGTCCAAGAACAAGGTTCGAGGCTCGTGGGTGGCGGCTCTAGCATTCTACCTCGACGACATGCGGCTAACCTGGGTTTCAAGGAGCACGGAGATGATCCCCAGTCAACGAGCCACAATGACAATGGCCTTTCCTGCGGCAGTCCTCTTCTTTGGCTCACAAAGCCCTCATGGGCAGTGGTTCTTCTTCGTCTCCGAAGACGGCAAGTGGTGAGGATGGCGTTTGCAGAAATTTGCTTTAATGGAGTTCTCTACCAAATGTTCCTGGACATGCGTCCTCTCTCTCTCTCTCTCTGGGTTTTTGCGATTCCGTGTTGTAATTTGACATACGTTTAATGGTGTGCGAAATTTCAAAAAAAAAAAACACGAGACGCCACCTTAACAAATCCATTTATTTGCCTGCCAACAATCCGGCCGGCCTCCAAACGAACGGATCAGCAGAGCAGAGCAGCATGATCGTCTCTACTTGCGCGCCATTGCCTTGGCGGTGGACACGTACCTGTCCTTCCTGGCAGCCAGCGCGGCGAGCAGCGCGCCCCTGTCACGCAGGCACCCCCGCACGGCCTCGTCCGCGACGTACTCCCTCGCCCACCGGCACAGCGCCGGGTGCTCCTCCTCGGTGAGCAGGGTCACCCCGGCCATCTCCTCGAACACCCCCAGCCAGTGCGCGAGCCCGCTGGCGGCGATGTCGAGGAAGCCGACGCGGTCGCCGCCGAAGAACCTCCTCCCGCCGAGCTGCGCCTCCAGGAGCGTCAGGTTCCGCTTCGTCTCCCTCGCCGCCGCCTCCCGCGCCTCGCCCTCCCCCCACAGCGCCACCCACGTGCACACCCCGCACTTGTCGTCGATGAAGCGGGCCCAGAAGCGGGCGGCGGCGCGGTCGAGTGGGTCGGCCGGCAGGAGCGCGGGGCCACGGGGGAAGGCCTCGTCCACGTACTCGACGATGACGAGCGACTCGCAGAGGGCCGGCCGGCGGCCGCCGTGGAGGAGCACCGGCACCTTGTGGTGGACGGGGTTGTGCTCCTGCAGCAGGTCGCTCTTGCTGTTGAGGTCCTCCTGGATGAACTCGTAGGGGACGCCCTTGAGCCGCAGGGCCACCTCGACGCGGTGCACGGCCGGGCTGCCGAAGGACCCGATGAGCTTAGCCTCTTCTTCAGACATCTTAGTCTACTGCTCCGTCCTGATTTCTCCGGTCGAGTTGGACCCCCTGAATATATTGTTTCCGAGAAACTTCCTCGTAGCTTCGTGCTTCCAGAGATAACTATTGCCGATATGTTTAGTTTGTCGAAACGGAGGTAAGTTTTAACCTCATCGATTAATTAAGCAGTAGAGAATTGCCTGCTTAGTTTATGATATCTTCTCTTCTCCCGCCACTGAAAGCGACCTACCGGAAGTCTTAATCTTTCAGCTATAAACAAATAACAAGCGATTGTTACCTAGCTAGTAGTAGTAGTATGTGTTTAGTGAGGTACAATTTTTGGTACTTCTTGTTTTGGGTGCAAGGGTAGCCTCTCCAACCAAGCTTTAGATCTTCGAAGAGGTCAAAACAAGAGGGGAGGGAGGTATATACCCTACACTCGTTACAACCATGTGAGACAAGGTGCATTTTAGTCCAGGAATTGATCAACAAAGATCCCAATTTCCCTGGACAATAAAAAACTGAACCATGGAGTGGTGTTGTGCATCCTTCAGTGCAAGCAGTGACACCACCATGACACATAGCAGCTAGTGATCGTTCCAAATCCTTTTTAAGCTGAGCTCGACACCTCTCTAGGATACAAACCAGTGACCCACTGACAAGGACATTTATTCACAGACCACTCACCAAGCAACCAAAAACAGGCATCAAAATTCTGAAGCATATCAAGTGGACAAGCAGTGAGGCAACATAGCACTCAACCAAGCACACCACTGCTTTTCTTCCCCCAAACGGAACCACAAGCAAAGCACAGATGCAACGGCCTCCAAAAGAAGCCACACCTTTGCCTTTGCCCAGTCAGCTTCGCACCATCTATCATTCCATCTAGTGGAGTGGAGCACCCAAAACGGAGGCCTCCACATCAGCAGATACGAAACCAAAGCAAAGATTTCTGTTGTAATATAATCTTAATAAGACGCGAAAACAGCTCCAATCTAGAACCCACTTTCAGATCCACTCACCCAACACTCGAACACAACACATAGTACTTACTCAAACACCACCAAATACCGAAAACAGACGCGACACAACCACGCCAGGCCACCGGGTACGGCGGCCTGGCGACACTACCTTTGTCTTGCCACAGGTTCTCTTTTCTCTTTTTCTGGTGATTCCGATGATACCACTATAGGAGGAGTCTTTAGAGCTAAGCAAACTGAAATACGGATAATACGACGATGACAGGAGAAAAAGAGAGCTAGGGAATAAACCTAACTATCCAACCCGCTTTCCAGCCACCTTTGGTGATCGGTACTTGGGACCCTGCATGTCTCGCCTGGTTCGCCAGCACCGTCCGTTTGTTCCTCATGGCTAGCTGGGAGGATCAGGTATGCGATCAAGCAGCTACACCGGTCTTGACAGCACCGTTGGCGACGACAGGCTTTTTCTCGGTGGCCACAGGCTTCTTCTCGGCCGCTGCTGTTTGGGCCACCTTCGCCGCGTAGGTCACAGCTGGAGGAGCAGCGGCAGCGGCTTTCTCTGCCGGAACCTTCGCATCCCCGTTGACACCATTTGCTACAGGTGACTTTGGCTTCCCATTGACAGCATCCTGCTGTTTCTCCCCATTGACACCGTTCGGTAGAGACACCTTTGGCTTCCCGTTGGCGAGTTCTTGCTGTTTCTCTCCGGCAACAGGATTCGGAGCCCTACTGTCCCACACCTACGTACATGATTAGACAATCAATTCAGAGTTGCTACAACAAGAACAGAACAGTAGATGGCAGTAATGAGAAATGACGATTCACTAGAGTCATATGTACCTGCTTTTGGATCTGCTGTTGTTTTATTCTCTTCTCCTGCATCAACTTCTGGCGGTTCTCATAGAAGGCGAAGTCTTCCAGGATAGAGGTCTTGCTGACATGCTCTTTGAATATCTTGAGCATCTGAATACCTTGCTCAAGGTTGATCTGAATTGTCGACAAAAAGGAGTAAACAGAACAATAAGGTACAGCTATCTAGGACGTCAGAGAACCAAAAAATAATTAAACATTCATCGACACTTACATCCTGTGTGTCACGGCTGTTTGTGACCGGCTTGCCCTCATTGTTCTCTAGGACGATGTGCTTGAGAATGTTGTTGGGAACATCCTTGACAATGTGCCACTTGACAGAGAATGAACCATTCCACTTGTCTTGTTGCCAGAACTCTAGAGTTTTTTCAAAATCAACAGGACCAGTCATTTCAGCAACACCAACAAACTGTCCACTTGTATTCACCTGAAAGTTTGTAAGGAAGGAGATTCAATTAGCCCAAGGAAATCAAATTGAACATTCCTAAAGCAGTAGCAAGTGTGGAGAACGTCCTTACCGAGAAAAACAAGAATATAGGGCAGCTAGAGCCCTTTGCCTGAGCTTCTTGATAAGCAGCATCAAGCTTCTTATTTCCATTGGTGGTACTTGCCCACACATTGTATTTTATACTCTTATGGATATCATCCTCGCTGTATGATTTGATGACAAAAAACTTTGCATCATCATACTGGACAGGGAAATCCTCTAGGTTGAACTGTGCCTTATCAGGTATGTCACTAGCATCCTTGTTTTCACTTGAAGGGAGGGTCTGCCCTTTCACAGCAATAGTAACAGTATGGCCAAATGCTTTCTGGTTCTTGAAACGACCAGACCTAGGACCTCTGTTGAGCTCAATTGTTCCATCCTGACTCTCATTGCCAAAACCATAATATCCGTTGCCACGGCCTCTGGGCCTGTTGTATCTGGTATCCATAGAAACACCCCACCGACCATATAACCTGGAATCATAGCCGCTGCTTCCGTAGCCACTGCTTCCATAGCCGCTGCTTCCGTAGCCATTGCTTCCGTAGCCGCTGCTTCCGTAGCCAGTGCTTCCATAGCCAGTGTTTCCATACATAAGACCAGTTTTGACCGAATTTCCATACTGGTTGTAAGACTGGGTGCTCGAGTACATCCTGTTTGGGTATGTAGGAGTAGCTGACCCTGTTGTAGTCGTTGGTCTCCTGTTGCCCTGCATACATAACAATATACAGAGAACATATACTTCAGTATGCAAATTATATACAGCACAATCAAGGTAAAACTTCATAAACAGGTCAAAACGATCAAACGTGCCTTCTATGCAAGAACCCCCACTATGTTTCAGAAGAAGAAAAATAATATCAAAGTTTATTGAGAGCGCGTCCTAACAAATACAATAGCTTAAAACTTCATTGCAAGGAAAATTATATACATCCCCATGCTACTGTTACTATGATGAAGCAGTGTAGTGCCTTAGCGTGTCAGGAAACATGCATGAGCAGAAAATAGTGACCACTAAATGCCTTTGATCCATAATTAATAGAAATTTCAACACAATTCCTCTGTACTCACCGTCTGCTGCGGTGTGGGGCTCTTGGTCTGATACCTTGCAGAAGAGCCATTGCTATTATACGCTGAAGACGGCGTGTAATTAGCTGTAGTTGGTCTTTGCTGTGCATTGGTATAGGCAGAACCATCGTACCAAGCATAGTGTGCCCCTGTGGTGTCATACCCATAGGTTGAGTCCACGTAACCAGTAGAAGGGACTCCACCTAGCAAGGGTGCCCTATAGGTTCCATCAGGGGTCAGTGATGAATTCTGATAGCTTGACCCAAGGGGAGCAGTTGCGCTGTTACTCTGAGCAGAAACATTGGGAACACCATTTGTGGTTGTTTTGGCAGCATCTGCCTTAGCTGCTGGCTTATTATCAGCATTGGCCGAAGGCTGCTGGTCACCTTGAGTTGTAGAAGGAATCGGGGTAGGAGGCTGATAATAAGCTGGATACTGGTAATGTTGTGCGGCAAACATCTGACCATCAACTGTTGGGACTGGGGAACTAGCTGGAGAGTACGCGCCATAAGGAGCATACCCATATCCATAAATATCTCCATATACTGCCTGCAAAATTCAAAGACCAATTAGCAAGTTAATTCTGATGTCCATGGAAGTAACACAAATATACAAGTACAACAAATTGAGATAGTACAGGATGTTAACATTCTCAATACAAGATGGTATTAGTGGCAGACAAACAGCATGAACAATACTTTTGAGTAACAACAATTGGGAGAAAACTCTGCACAGACCATAATAAGAAGCAGAAATTCCCATGAAAGGTACAAACCATACCAAAAGAATGGCTGGATAGCATTCCACTCATTACATATATCAACACAGACTTGATATGATAGCTCCAGTAGACAATAATAGCAAAATTCCTGAACCTTTATGTACTACTAGGAATATGACTCATGGTGCAAATCCAGATAAGCAACAAGACATGAAAGCTAAAAGATAATACCCCCTCTGGGATAACTTACTGGGGTAACCTCCACTCCATCTTGATTTACATATCTAGTATATTCATCCCACTCGCTCATGGTTCCGTCGTAACCTGGAAGACCCAATTCTGTTAGCTTGCAAGTAAGTATACACTGAAAAGAAGCAGCAAGCTAAATTAACAGAGAAGTGATCGCCGGTCCCTCACCTCCATAGTAATATGCTGGCAGATAGAACATGTTGGGATCCGTAAAATCTTGAACCACCGGAGTGATGGACCGGTCCTGTGGGATCGACACGCTGAGCGGCTGGCTGGCCACAGGCCCCTGCTGAATCAACAGCAACACCAGACATGTCAGAATCACATATCACCTGGAGCAAAGCCATGAACTTGCACAAATTGGAGAAGAACAAGGAATATTTACTGTTGTATCCATACCTTGGTGGCACCGGCAAGCTCGGTTCCATCTGCCGCCGCCTTGGGCTGCGATTCCAGCGACATCTTCTGCAACAGATCTGTGGCTTCTTTGCAGATCAAAATCGTCGAATTAAGGAGTCACAGGGTGTAAAAAAGAGATCCCAAACCTTGAAGACTAAATCTCCAAAAAATTGCTTCTTTTGGACCTGTGCAGTTCACAGCCAGCGTACGAATCCGGACTACAGTAAAAACGCATCGATCTGGATAAGTCAAGCAAGCGCGGCCGCAAGGACGGACAGGCGCACAGGGCAGATGGGGCCGGCCGGCCCGCCAGCCGCCGCCGCGGCACAGTCACCGCGGAGCGTGCCCAGCCCAATCGACAAACCAACCACAAAACCTTGTCAGAAAGCAAAGGTAGCAAGTAAAGGATACGATCCGCGGCAGGGGCGGGGGCGAGGGCCGGGGCTGGAGCAGCCGGCGCGGCGGGCGGGGCGGGGGTCGGCGCGACGACGGCCATGGGGCGGGCGAGATCCCAGCAGACGGGTGACCTGGAGGCGAGATCCGACGGAACCAACCGGAGCGCCCGGGCCTCCTTCCTTCTCCTCTCTCTCTACGGCGGATAGCTAGCTAGCAAGGCCCGAGCTTGGGGTAGAGGGAGAGATATGAAGGAGGGAGGCGGGCGGTGGGGATAGGAGGGAGGGAGGCGAGCCGCCACCAGGGGAGACTAGCAGCTGCAGCAGCAGGCCAGGGGGTAGTGGTGGTACTAGTGGTACAGTGCCGAGCTGCGAGGGGAAAAGAGGGGGGTTTAGGGTTAGGGGCCGGGGATGATATAGGTGGCGGGGGCTGGTGGGAGGGAGGGAGGAAGCGCGGACGACCACGGCTCACCGGGGGAGGCTTTGGCTTGGCTTGGGATTCCACTCCTTCTCTACGTCTTCTCCTTTTCCTCTATTTTACTTGTCCTGAACCAATTGCAACTTGGGACTTCTCTTTCCCCTCAAAAAAAAAACTTGTGACTTTTCTTTACTGTAATTTCCTCTCTTTTTCCAGTAGTAGTAGTAGTTTTTGTTTTATCTTTGGTTTTATGTGACGATCTAAGAGGGTGAATTGATAATAAAGTTAACTGTTCTTCTTTTCTGATCCTTTTCTTAGCCCGGCGGGTTTAGAGGCGATTACTCACTACGGGTTTTATTAGTCACCATCGGTTAGCCTTTTTTTAAGGAAAGTACACTAGGTTTTTGATATTGTTTTTATGGCGCAGGGGAGAATATGCCTAATTTCTATGTTCTATCTAATTTAGATGGTAAGATGTCATAATGATATTACCACCACAACTCTCAGAACGAGCATGTGGAACAAGATAACACGAGAGTGATCGTTCTCGTGGTGGTACTAACCCGTGATACAACTGTTGACGATCACCGACGATGCTCTGCTAATAACGCTATACGTGAAAAGCACGCCATACAACTGTTGATGATCAACGGCGATGCTCTGCTAATAAAGCCATACGTGAAAAGCACGCCAGCGAAGTAAAGGAGTACTAACCCGCACGCTACTCCTTTACTTCTTTTTTTTTAACCACAAGAAAAAGTAAAGGAGTAGCGTGAGAAAAAGTAAAGAAGTAGCGTGCGGGTTGCCAGCTCACTGATACATCTGTCTGGAAGAAAGCATTACGAGTAATGTCAAATGCAGCGAGTGCTCTTAGAGCGGTGCCAGCTCACTGATACATCTGTCTAGGAGAAAGCATCACAAGTAATGTCAAATGTAGCTAGTGCTTTCAGAGCGGTACCAGCTCATTGATACATTTGTCTGGTAGAAAGCCTTACCAATAATGTCATATGTAGCCAGTGATTTACGAGCGGTATGTCGGATAGGGAAACTCCAACGCGGCCAGTAAGATATCATAATGATGTTATGGTCACAACTCTCTAAACGAACATGTGGAGCGACATAGCGTGAGGATGATTGTTCTCATGAAGGTGCTAACTCACAATACAATTGTTGACGATCGACGATGGTGCTCTGCTAGTAGCGTGCAGGTTACCAGTTCACTGATACATCTGTTTGGGAGAATGCATTCCAAGTAATGTCAAATGTAGTGAGTGCTTTGTGAGCGGTGCCAACTCATGATACAACTGTTTTATGAGTGACAATGTGATGCCCCCGTTTATAATTATGCATTAATCGTACACGCATCATGCACGATCATGAATGGTGACGCACATTAATATCACAACATAACTCTACGACACAAATTAAACATAAATATTTATATTATAGGCCAAGGTCACGAGGACCCATTACATTAGTGCAGATAGCAAGTTAAGTCTGGGTACAGACGATGTTAAACGAGTTGCCTTAAGAAGGCTAAGCATAACAACGACACTAGATCGAAAAAGCACAGGCCTCCTGCATGGGACCTCAGAACTACTCGTTGACGTTGGTCTTCACGTAGTAAGCACCATCGGAATAACCTGCATCCGCGGTGCTACCGGCTGTTACAGCAACCGGGTTGAAGAAAAAGAATAGCAAAGCAACGGTTAATTGCGTTCTTTTTTTATGCTTTTCTTAGCTCGGTGGGTTCAGAGGCGATTACTCGTTATAGGTTTTATTAGTCACCGTCAGTTAGCCCTTTCTATTGTATGTAATGAAGACCCACTAGGTTTTCGATCATTATTTTATGGCTTAAGAAAGAATATGCCTAATTGCTATCTTCTATCATATTTTATGGCTTAAGAAAGAATATGCATAATTTCTATCTTCTATCTAATTTAGATGGTAAGATGTTATAATGATGTTGCCACCGTAACTCTCAGAGTGGGCATCATTATCGTGATGGTGCCAACTCACGATATAGCTGTTCACGCTCAACGACGATGCTTTGTTAATAACGCCATACATGAAAAGCACGCTGGTGAAGTAAAGAAGTAGTGTGCGGGTTGCCAACTCACTAATACATCTGTCTGGGAGAAAGCATTACGAATAATGTCAAATGTAGTGAGTGCTTTTACGAGCGGTGCCAACTCACTAATACATCGGTCTGGGAGAAAGTATTGTGAGTAATGTCAAATGTAGCAAGTGCTTCACGAGCGGTGCCAGCTCACTGATACATCTGTCTGGAAGAAAGCATTGCGACTAATGTCAAAATGTAGCAAGTGTTTTACGAGCAGTGCCAGCTCACTGATACATCTGTCTGGGAGAAAGCATTGCGACTAGTGTCAAAATGTAGCAAGTGTTTTACGAGCAGTGCCAGCTTACTGATACATCTGTATAGGAGAAAGCATTGCAAATTATGTCAAAATGTAGCGGGTGCTTTACGGGCGGTGCCAGCTCACCGATACATCTGTGTGGGAGAAAGCATTACGAATAATGTCAAAATGTAGCAAGTACTTTACGAGCGGTGCCAGCTCACTAATACATTTGTATAGGAGAAAGTTGTTGACGTATAAATGTGTTGCCTAGTCTCTTCCATCAGATCGGTCTTTTGATTGCATTGGCTAGAGCATGCACTTCTACATGGTATCGGATCCAAGAGGTCTTAAGTTCACGACCTGGATGACGCAATTAAAATGCAGCCCACTTTCGGTCCAGGTTTAGCCCTGAGAAAGCCACACGTGAGGGGGAGTGTTGACGTACAAATGTGTTGCCTAGTCTCTTCCATCAGATCGGTCTTTTGGTTGCATTGGCTAGAGCATGCACTTCTACAAAAGCATCACGAGTAATGTCAAATGTAGCAAGTGCTTCACAACCGGTACCAGCTCACTAATACATATATCTGGGAGAAAGCATTGCGAATAATGTCAAAATGTAGCAAGTACTTTCTGAGCGATGCCAGCTCATTGATGCATCTGTCTGGGAGAAAGCATTATGAATAATGTCAAAATGTAGCGAGTGCTTTACGAGGGGTGACAACTCACTGATACATTTGTCTAGGTGAAAAGCATTCGGAGTAATGCCAAATGTAGTGAGTGCTTTAAGAGTGGTGTCAGCTCACTGATACATCTGTCTGGCGAGTAATGTCAAATGTAACGAGTGCTTTACGAGTGACAGCTCACTGATACATCTGTTTAGGTGAAAAGCATTCGGAGTAATGATAAATGTAGCAAGTGCTTTACGAGCGGTGCCAACTCACTGATACATCTATCTAGGTGGAAAGCTTTCTGAGTAATGTAAAATGTAATGAGTGCTTTATGGGTGGTGCCAGCTCATTGATACATCTCTGGGAGAAAGCATTACGAGTAATGTCAAATATAGTGAATGATTTACGATTGGTGCCAGCTCACTGATACATTTGTCTGGGAGAAAGCATTACGAGTAAGGTCAAATATAGCGAGTGATTTACTAGCGGTGCAAGCTCACTGATACATGTGTCCGGAAGAAAACATTACGAGTAATGTCAAATGCACCGAGTGCTTTAGGTGCGATGCCAGCTTACTGATACATCTATCTATGAGAAAGCATTATGGGTAATGCCAAATGTGGCGAGTGCTTTACGAGCAGTGCCAGCTCACTAATACATCTTCTGGGAGAAAGCATTACAAGCAATGTCAGATGTAGCGAGTGCTTTACGTGCGGTGCCAGCTCACTAATATCTATCTAGGAGAAAGCATTACGAGTAATGTCAAATGTAGCGAGTGCTTTACGAGCCGTTCCAGATCACCGATACATCTGTCTGGAAGAAAGCATTACAAGCAATGTCAGATGTAGCAAGTACTTTACGAGCAGTGCTAGGTCACAATACAACTGTTGGGACCTCACACATAGCAGTACACATCATACGTACGCACGACATGCAAGTAAGTGTTGGTACAACATGGCATCACAACATGACTCTACAACTCGAGGTATTTATTTAAGAGGCTCCGAGGAGCCATACATAACATGATACTATAAACAGGGGTCATATGACCCAACATACAAAGTCATACAAGTAACAAGCGGAAGCATAACCCGTGTGAGTACAGACAGCTAAAAAGAAAAAGGCTAGAAGCTTGTCTATCTACACGACCCTCCATATAAATCAGACTTCTGTCTGGAATTCCCAAGCTGTCGAACCCATGTGGAACTACTAGTGAGATTGAAGT